ACAAGTATGAAGCTGATGAAAGCTTAGAAAAGGCATCCATCTGTCGGGATACATATTTTCATTCGTAACCTTACAGAACTGTATTAGCCATACTCTTAATTAGATATCACACTGAAAATTAATCCTTGCCCTGAAAATAAACAGCCTCTTCTAATCGCAAGGGTCTTAAAACTAAGAGTTGAACGTGATTTCTAAATCGTTTCTCGACCACAAGCTGTTCAAACGAATATCAGTCTAGCGTTTTACGCACCCTAAAGAAGAACTTTGCTCCAGAAACTATAAAATTTCTATCTTCACCAATAAAAGGTATATGAGACAGTATGACACCTAGTCACGTTTTTTGATAACAAATATTGTTGAAATTGTTTTTTCCTTTGAAGCCGTTACTTTACGCATAAATTACAATTTAGAATTGAAAGTACTTTACCGCAAATTTTACCAAGAAATAAAATTTAAAATAAACTATACTGTGTGATTTTTCTTATTGAAGTCTACAGTTTATCCTGCGTAAAGAAATCTTTAATACATTTCCCCTCCTTTAAGTAAAGACTGGCTACAACCAGGATATTAAAAGACTCAAGGAAATCAGGGCTCCAGGCTTAATTTCCTTTCTCTGAAAGTTTTAATTGAAAGATTCATTAGAAATTTTCCAAAGAATACCTTGACACTTCCGTTGCCTAGACAACCGGGTCCCAAAGGGTATTAGTGTCATGGAGCTAGCACAATATTTCTTTTATCCTTCGCAGTAATTTATTATTCAAACTTGACCCAATTTCCCCCATGTAGGGTGTTCTCTTGTTTTCTCTTTCGGCAACTAGTGAAAAGAGGGCAATTTTTTGTCTAATATCGTCTCTTTATCTGAAGGAATACCGAAAAAACACTCAGGTAAGTTGCGCGAGAGTTTCTCAGGGCTTAAGATGAACCGCGACGTGTGTCTCAATTGTTGCTGTAGTTCTTTTCGTTCTTCTGTCATTCCTTTTCTTTATCCACTGATTTTTATCTCTGCATTTAAGTTGTGCAGTATGACTTGTCTCTAAGTTTCTCAATTTTTTGCATTACGTTAAAATTTTGAAAATCGCCAATCACCGGCGACCTGCAACGTGGCACTGTGGTATGAGCTCCGCTCACGATTCGATCATGTCAGGAATAACCTCGCACAGGAACAGCGAAGAAATATCACCATAAACCTTAGTTTCCTTTTCCCCTCTTTTTCTCCTTTCATTTCTGTTCTATTATTTTTTAAATCGAACTTACCCTTGTCTCTACCGTATATTTTAACTTTCCATTTCAAATGCACATATCACTGAACTCATTAATAAAACGTTCTAAAGTTTAGAGATAAAAACGACTGCTCTTATCAATACCGCTCAAGCCCTTTTGTTCCCTCAAATGGTGAGTGTACAGCATTTTTTTTGCAATATTTATTCCTAGATAATGAAAACGGAAGAAATTATGATTCGTTTTAAGCAGCCCTGTAAAATTAAAAATAAAAACAAGAAAATTATTTATTTCAAAGGCTTACTTCTCATTGGCCGACGCTAAAAATGTGTTACAAGTCGTGCCTACGTCAAAATCAGTGATTGGTTGTTGTTTCCAATCCATATTCATGCAACTTGTCGTCAAAGTGTGAAGACATGTATGACGAGGTTCTGATGACGACGAGAATGAAGCGGGAAGAAGTTTGAAGAAATGTTCATGAGGAAATGGAAGTGTGTACTATTCTCCAGTAAGGGTAAATATTGTAATTTTGTTGGAAAATACGAGAGTGAAGTTACAGGATATTACCTTGGCGAGTTGCCACGTGCGCAAGTAGTCGGCCGCTCAAATTCGAGAACAAGAAACAGTGTATTCATGCAACCAGAGCATTTTAGCCATAACTGAAGCCGAAAGTACGGAAAATTCGAAACTAGAAAGGCTATTAGAGTCATCTCGAAACCTTCAACGCGTCTCAACTCTTGGACACGGCCACGTGCATGTAATCATTTTTTTTTTCTCGTGTCTTGAGGGAGTTTAGCTCGGTAGAATTTGCAAGTGTGTGTCTTTGGGTTTTTCCACCTTTACGTGAGTTTAGTTAAATACTCGTTAGTAAAAATCCTTTACTTGAGTTGAGTTAAACACTCGTCTGTAAAAATCCTTTACTGGAGTTGAGTTAAACACTCGCCAGTAAAAATCCTTTACTTGAGTTAAGTTAAACACTAGTAAGTAAAAATTCATCTCATTTCTCATCAGCATAATGTTTGTGTTTTAGATAATTGTCTTGGTGAAGAGGAAAAGAATGATGAAATATCTCTTCAAAAGGAGAACTGGATCCACTGGATGGACGAGAAGATTCGACAGAGATAAGCATTTAAAACTATAATATATTTTTGGTAAAATGGTGACTGAACTATTGTCGATATCTATTTGAAAACTTCTCTGAATTGCATCCGATCAGATCTGTGAGTTGTCGGGATTGATGGAATAGATACACTTTGTTTTGCAAATCAACATACACGTATGGTGATAACAAATAAAATTTATGCAAATATAATTTGGTCATTCTTAAGGAAGGGAAAAGACAAATTTTCATTTTGAATCCATGGCCCTAGCTGCTCAGTTTTAATTTTGCACATTCAAATGAATTGATGTCAACTTTAAAAAATTTGTTGAAGTTTCTCGAGCTTAATTTCTTGAATTCAAAAGACTCAGTAGTTCAAGTCACTATACTATTTCAGTTGCTATATCTTTAACATGTCATCATCGACAATTTTAAAAAAAGTGTGTAGTTAGGTGGAACTGCAAGTCAATTAGGAAAAAAAAATTCGTTCTCTACGAATTAAAATTTTAGTTTATTGAGAGAGGCACCAATTGGTTACCATATTAAAATTTGAATGAAGAAATTTTTGTAGTAGCATAAGTAGTCACTTGTCTGTTTGTCGTCTTTGGAGAAATAGACGAACAAGAGATTTTTCTCCGTTTGCGTTCATTTAATCAAAAGAGAAATAATTTATCACTTAGGACTGGTTTTTATATCAGTTGTCAGTTCGTACATTTGACAGTTCCACTTTAATTACAACGATTTGTATGACTATTTAGTTGATAGCCTATTATCGACAAGAGAACAATGGATTTTTCTTTTTGTTTGCATTTTGCTATTTTTGAGTCGAAAATAACCTTATCTTCTTAAAGAAAAGCTACTCGAAACTCGATGTATTAAACATATTAAGTGAAGGAAACAGTCACCAAACAACTAAGACAGCTGAAACGAACTGAACTGACTTCTATCAGTTTGGTAACGATATCCGTTATTCCAGACAGGGGGAGCAAGACAGTTCAGTTCAGTTCTGGTATTCAGTGCACGTTGACTTACAACCACATTGTTTATCAGGACTCTTCTTCTCTAACAAATTAAAACGACTGACTTTTGTAAGTTTGATCGACCATTAGTGCTCGAGTCATGAGTCCTCCATGACTGCATGACCGACCAATCAGGGCGCATTATCAACCAGTAAATTAACATTCTACCGAATAACAATTCACTTGACTTCAAGAATGACCCTCGCCCAGGTTGTTTACCTAACGACATGTAAAGAGTGGATTAATTGTGAGACTTTTTGTATCGAGAAATTGTGATTTCAGTGATCGCATGAGTACAGTTTCGTAAGAAACACTGGTAAATTTAACTGATAACATCAACTGCTGACTCCAGAGAAACTGATTGACCAGAACAGAAAAAAATTCTTGTATCGAAGGATACCATTATGGAACACTGATGCCCAACAGTTGTACCTTACAAACGACTTGCTCACGACATGACATCGAGGATCTCAAGATTATACTGTCCACCTTGACTGACACGTCACTGACCAATCAGGCCCGTGACCAGTGGTTGGTTCCACTGACTAGGAAAGTTTCACTGAACTGGAAAATGAATCGGTCTGATTTTCGAAACGCAATTCAAAAGCAACATACAATATTGCTTTCTGCCATTGTTCTCTTGTCGGTTATAGTTAATTACAAACCACAGTGTCTGGTTCCGAGAAGATTGAAATGCAACGATCGCGAGAAACTGCTGAAGATTATGCTCGTTAGCTTTCTTACCAAAGCGTCAACAGATCCATTGTCTTAATTAAAGGAATATACGATTAAAACAACGCTCAAAATAGAGCAATTTGATTGGAAGGAGTTAATTTTCGCTTGATTATCTAGCTGTTTAATTTTCACTTTATCGTCTTCACAAAATCAGAACCAGTAAGATGATAAGATAGAAGAACAGCATCTACGTAGATTTTTTTGTCTCGATTCTTGTTGTCGAAATCTCGTTTTTCGAGAAAGGAACAAACTCAAACTCTTTCTTTTCTTCGACTAGACACTGTATTTTATTGTAATTTTTAATAAACTGAAATAGGAGAAATAACAATTGGTGCTAGTATTTCTTGTAACGCAGGACACAAAAGACGCATATTTTTCTAATGAAAACAAAGCTTTTTTGGTAAGCAGCAACAGAGAAAATTCACCGCCGGATTTTTTTTCCTTTTAAAACTTTGCAACAGAAGGGGTAGAGCAATTTAATTCTCTTAGTCATTTCTGGTTTATTTCCTCGACCAAACTGATGTGGAGCAGAAAAGAAAATTCATTTTTTTGACGAACTGCTTAAAAAATGCAAACATTCCTCGTCAAAAACTTTTCTTATCGACATTGAGCCGAGCGATTTAATTGTTATTTTCTTGAACAAAAAAACACATCTCTCAGCTTGCTTGAGTCTTCAACCAGACTGACAACAGTACGAAAGGAAAGAGTTGGTCTTAAGACTACCAAAAAAAAAAAAATGATATATTAAGAACGTTTTGGCAGACAGTGTGCGTAGCAACTGAATTGTTACTGGGTCTCGAGTATAAAACAACATGAACACTTCCCCTTGTCTTCGAATTTATGGTCAATTCAGTGGAAAATTGCTTAGGGATTGCAATTAAAAAATAAACACTCTTACCTAAGGAGGATTATCTACGTTTCAATTTTATAAGGCGTACTTTTAAAACTTTTAACTTTTAAAATCTTCGGTGCGCTTTAAGTTTCATGTGCCCTGTGTTACAAGCTAAAGCTGGCAATATGAACTGTTATTGTTCTGTAAAAAGCAACATGAAAAGTTTCAAGCTTAAAGAAATAGAAGTGAAATTGGCAAAGAAATCATTAAAATGTGAGGAAAGATAGGGTATATGTGACCTTGAAAATTTTCATCGGAAAGTTAAATCTTTTCGTACTGCTTTTTGGTATTTCGTTGTGAAAGCATTATCTCGTGCAAAAAAGTTTTTGTTAAAAGGGAAATTTAACTTTCTTCTTCGATTTTTTTTGCACGAGGTAATTTTTATATTCTTTTGGAGGAGAAAACGAAATCCTTTTTTATTTTTTTGGCGAAAAGTTGCTTGGGAGAACTCTGTGCAAAAGGGTCCAAATTTTCCCGCCAAAAGTCTTAGTACATGTACGGAAAATTTGTTAGAACAACTTTTTATTGAAAATGACCAGTTAATCAAGTTATGATTAATAAGAATTTAAAACAAATAAAAACCTTTTGTGACTTATTGAGTATATTTGAGAAAAAATAAAACCGATGAACACTTCGCTGTATTGACTTGCCAAATATAGGTAGATGAAAATAATACAAGATAACAAGGAAATAAATATAGAGTTTATTAGCAAAATTCATCTTGATTTAAAAAAAAAAAAAAAAAAAAAAAAAAAACGGCGCATGCGTATTTAAAGCACCGGTTTGGCGGGAAAATTCGCCACATTTGAACAGATGTTACTTACAGAACGAATAAAGGAAAAATTGGCGCATGCGTATTTTTAAGTTTTTCATCTGGAAAATCTTTTTAAAATCACAAAGCCCTTTGCATGAGTTTTTCAAAAGTCCAAAAAAATAGCGAAATGGTGTTTTTCTGCTTTAACTCTTCGATTTTAGTAGAGAATATTCTTGCCAGAAATGTGCTGCATCTGTTTGGTACCTCTTAGAAACCTGTCTTGGACTTGCGCTTGAAGCATCAGAGATATTAGCCTTTCAGTCTGCAAGAAAATAAAAATAAACGAGAAATCAACAAATGAAATCGAACATGAACCAATGCTGAACTCATTTGGACGAGGTGAAATAAGTGTTTAAGTCCTAAACTGTCGAGTGATCGTACTAAGGAACGAGAAAATAACCCGTATTTTCTGATAGATTCAATACTATTATCAGAATTTGCTGTAGGAATAAACTTCAGTTTAAGTTAACTTTGTCTCGTTCCTGTGTTCTAGGAATGAGCCGTTTAATTGTTAGCTGACAGGTTATATTAATGCCACAACAAACATTTTCGTATCAAAAATTTTTCTTAGAACGACAAATTAAAATATGATGGTTGATAGTTGCATAAATTAAGTTTCCACAGGAGCCCATGGGCTCCTGGTTTCCAAGGCTTAAATCGTATCAACCGAGTCTACATTGAACTATCACTCCCTAACTGCTGTTCACATTTTTGGCGAACAAATTCCTTTAAGGTCAAATGATCCTATTTTTTTAACAAACCTCACTCGCACCAAATAGAGTTATAGTTTAAAGTCTGACACAAAGTAATTGCTGGAAATTTGTAGATATTTGAATAATAATAATTAAAAAAACCCTAAGGGACGTCTTTCGAGAATTAAAAGCTGTAAAATTTAGACTAAATGACATTTCAATTGTAACAATAATGAAATGAAATATTTTCACAGGAATGCGCAGATTACCAATTGTTAAAACTCCTCATGGCTGATATTTTAATTTGTAGTAGCTGTTGTTATGAGTGTGGAGTTAAAAAGAATTATAATCTCTTGTTCCTAGGTTAAGAAATTGATTCATTCGCAGTTCTCCGAAGAGCTCAATTGAATTGAGTTTTAGTTTAGTTCTAATTGAGAGAGTTTGTTCAGTTTTCAAGAATGAGGTAACAGACAAAACGTTACAAAAACAAAACAAAAAAAAAATCAGTAACATGCTGTGCAGCTATGTAAATTTATTCAAGCCAAAGAAATAGTTGCCAAATGGAATGATTTCAAATCCCACAGGAAAGCCTAAGACAATAACATGGACACCATTACGTCATGTGAAAACAAGCTATTAGAACTGTGAAAACACGAGATTTTAAATTTTTCTCGTAAATCAAACTAGAAGAATGTGGACTATTTGAGATAAATCTTTCAACTGAGAAATTTTGAAGTAAAATTTGAACAGATCCTGCGATGAAATCATGAAATCATTATTTTCTATTTGTGTAGATTTCCTTGGATGAACTTTTTCCTCGTCGGTATTCCAACATCTTTGAATTGTTTAATATATTTATTTCCCATGAAAAACC